GTACATACACACTTTTATTTTGGATGTGATTAATCGCGATTAATCGGTTGACAGCACTAATATGTAGATTATAAATTAAACCACCAAAGTAAATTTTAATCTAATCTGACCATCGGGGTAATCATTAAATTAGAAAGCTATTTAATTATGTAATCAAAAAAGTATGTATTTATATACAATTTATATTAAAATTGTATAAAAATACCTAATAAAGGAGATGAGGCTACAGCTACACAGGCATCACTTTTTTATTTGAGCAATAATACAATAGTATTTAATACTAGAATTACATTATTTTGGCTGTTTTTTCAAAACATTTATTGTATGTTTAAAGTCTATTATAAACATTTTTACATGTGTTGTACTTTTTTATTAGTTCTGTATTTAAATATTGTACTTATTCCATTACTTCATGTCAGACCTTCCCATTTACCTGAATTATACAGGCCATCTTCATTCAGTATAGACCCATTCCAGCTAATGTTATTTCATTTTACATGACAAGCTTTCAAAACAAAGATAAATGTATCCTCTGTATAGTAATGTGAAAGCTCAACATGGTCCCTGAAAGCTTTCCACTGACTAGCCCAACTCACATGCTTATGGAAATATACAGAGTTCTCAACTTCAAAACTGCTCACATATGATGCTTCTAAAATATAAGGGCTTAAAGATTAAAAAGAGAATACTTTCACAGATAGAGGCCAGATGGGGCAGGGCTTAAAGCGTGGTGCCCACAAATGTTGAAAGCTGTGTGAATGTTTAGTTTTCATCTGAGTTTAACAGCGTGACGGTACTCTGTCGGTTTTGTGTTGGTGTGGTACTTTAGTGGTCAGTAGTAGCACACTGGATAAACCGCTGCTAATCTCAAATCTTCAGATATCCTAATCAGGAAGATCCTAATCTGTTGTACTGTAATGTACAGTAACTGCATAAGTACAGACTGGGATACCTTACAGCAGTGGTTCTCAACTGCTTTTGCTTCAGGACTACACTGGACAACAAGTGCTGACTCAACACAGTATCAAAATTGACAAAAAATGTCTTGAAACATTGAACGGCATAGGCCCATCGATATGCAAATTTGCATAATCAAGCTTCTGCAATATTGGTTGTTTGGCTTCTAAATGCTTCTTGAATTCAATAGTTTCATGTTCTTAGCAGCCAATAGTTCATCAAACAAAACATGTTGAGGCAAAAACCATTTATTTAATGAAGCCGTGTCATATTTTTAATATTTAAAAAAATTATAATTAAATGATTTTCATAGTTTTTGAAGACGAAGGCATGTCACACAACCTGTCCATGTTGGATCTGCCTGATTAGCTTCTATGAAGTAACAGGTGAATTTACACAAAAATAATGTACAGGTGCATCTCAATAAATTAGAATGTCGTGGAAAAGTTCATTTATTTCAGTAATTCAACTCAAATTGTGAAACTCGTGGAATTACTGAAATAAATGAACTTTTCCACGACATTCTAATTTATTGAGATGCACCTGTAGAGTTTGATTGGATGTGCGGTCTTTGACAAAATGGGAAATTTTTCTCTTCCCATTTAGATCTTTTCGTATTTAAAGGTGGGGTAAGTGATTTCTGGTAGCCAATGTTGACATTTGAAATCACCAAAACAAACACGCCCC